GCTAGTATGGAGTTTCTGCCTATCAGCTATCTTATCGGTTTGTACCTCTTTTATTACAAATTGTACCGACGTTGAATGAGAATTCATCCGGAAAATGCAATCTGAAGAAAATGCAACATGACCGTGCATTATTTTGTCGTTGATATATTCTTAGTATAACTCTAAATTATGCCAGAAAAAAAAAAAAATGCAAGGGAAATCAAAACTGCAATAACAATAATACCATTTGTATTATCATTACTTACATATAGAAGTTTGCTACAGCACAGTTCTTGATATTCACAACTTGGAATGGAGATTTACAACTTGAGCCAATTCAAATTTGGGCTCCGCTCGATTAATTTACAACTTTCAGGTGTAAATTTTCACGTCTAATTACTGAAAAAACGAAAGGAAATCAAAGTCAAAATGGTCGCGAACATAAAACAACACGATGACTAGTAAAGGAACATGTATAGTCGAGTAGAGAATAGTGTCCGAATGAAGTCGATACCGTGATGAAATTGTACGTATCTTGATCGTCTGCTCGGAAATGGTTACTAGTTGAACGACTATGAATGCGGGCTCGGATCTGTTTGGGGACATTCACTTGTTGAGGGTCTGCATTAGGCTTTGGATAGTTCAATAAGAGCAATCATTCACCAACATACTCGCATGTTTCAAAACAAAATTCGGGTACATATAATTTGGAGTGGTCCGGGTTGAAAATACTTGAATTAGAAGGGCATGTTACTTAATTTTTTATTTTTATTTTTAAAAAGAAAACCATATGTAATAATGAAATTTTATCAAAGATGATATAACTATAGTTTAAAATATATTATGTTGAGATTTTAAAATAGTCAATAATCAATGGGTTTGAAAGATTAAACCTACTGATTAGGGGGATTTGTAATATCTATATCTATACAAAAGGTTTGGTTATTTTTTAAATAGTAACTATTTCCCTTCAAAAAAGTCTATTTACTATTTCTGGAAATTAATTTAATAATTTATAGTATATTTTAAATACTCACTTATGGAAATTGCAGCTCATTATTTAAGGAATAATTAAGTCATAAAATTTCATTTTCAAGACACTTTAATTACTCAAATTAATTTAACAAAATTTATGGTATATTCAAATAATTACTTTTAGGTAAATTTATTTTTACTACACTTTAATTACTCAAATCATATGAATAGGTGATTTACCCAAATACGGAAATTTTGGCTACTATATCAATTATATGATTTGGTAAATAAATTTCCAACTAAATTGTATAATTTATTATTTAACAAGTATTTTATATCTAATTCTTTTGTGAAATAAATTTTTAATATAGCTTAATTAACGTAAATTGTATAAATCCGACTAATTTATTCAATATGTAAATAATTACTACCATTATGGAAATACCGACAACAATAATTAATTTATGCAGTTTGCAAAAAAAAACTGTTCTAAAAATTGTGTTAAAGACAAATTTTATTTAAATATTATTAATAAAAGGTATTCATTTTTTGTGTATTTAATTGCTCAAATCGTGGATAATTAAGAAAATAATTAGGAAATAAAAATTTACATTTTTAAGATATTCTAATTACGCAGATCACGTAAAATTGATTTATTTAATTATAATCTTTTATAAAATTATTCTAAAATAATTGTGTTAATGACAATTTCTATTTAATTATTTTTTAATAACTATTTTTAGGTATTTTTTATATGTATAATAAACGTGAGTCTTGATTTTGTTTTGTACGCTGGACAATTAATTTCGTGGTTAAACCGGATACCATTTATTGAATTTTATCGATAAATAATGAAATCGAATTATTTGGTATACTATATATTGATCTTATATACCCGCTTATGGTAATAAATGATATCTCAATATTTTTTTTCTTTCATATTTCTAAGCATTTTACTCGATATTAATGAAAGAAAGTTTTGATAATAATATGGTTGATTCTTCTTTGTAAATGTGTGTGGAACTTATCAAATTATTTGGTGTGTGTGTGTGTTTGTGTGTGTCTGTGTGCACGCGTGTGTTGTATATATAAATGTTTATGTTTACTTAATCACATGGTAGTCAAATCGATTTTTTGAATAAAAATTTTAAAATGACATATATTATGAATTGAATATAATGTAACATATTATCAGTTACTTGTACAGTACAAATCGTGTACTAGTTTCAAATAAACATGTTTTAGATAATTTTGCACAATTTAGATTCATATACCATTTTCAACAAATGAATGTAGCATTTGTAATCCTCCCTATATATTATTCGTGAATGCGCTGAGCCTACGTGGCTGTTTCTGGTGCTTCAGAATCCTACTTGGCAAAGAATCATGCTTCGTAATTAGGTTTGGACAAATAATATTGATATATTAATAATTAATAATTAAGGTTTGGACATTCTATAATATTATTTAGTTAACTTAGGTATTTTAATATCACTTGTACTAATATAATCCTTTATTTCTTTATAATTTTACATACTGGGGCATTAAGTGACTAATATATCCCTGACTTTTGATTTGTTTCCTTCAATTAGCTATTGAATTATAAATGTATTTTAAAAGTC